TTGCTACCAAGGCCTTTGGCCTTCCACAGACAACATCATCATGCATTTATCCATTTTCACTCCGAAATAATCCTGCAGATTGAAATCGGCAACAGTCGGTGTTGAAAGCACCAAGCAGATGTCTCGGAATTCAAGGCTTGGTTGCAGAAGATTCCTTCTGCTGTATGGAACACAGAATCTTAATCAAGATTTTCTTCTTATATAGATGGCTAAATTATGTCATACATATTATGTCATAGTGTCAAGGATGTATGGAAGCCATGCATATTGGGACTAGGGATAGCTCTATCTATACATTGAAGACATAGCTTCAAGATGCTCTATTTGTGTTATCCGAAATGCTATCGGCACCGAACAGACAAGCCAACACTGGCTGACTTTTGCCCTCGCAACACATTGATTTAAATCTAAAAATAGGCCACTGCCACGTTTCACGGTGAATCATCGGCACGCCCACCATTGGAATGGCCATTTTTTGAAAAAAGTGTAACAAAAAAAACGGTTTCAGACGCACCCAAATCATATCATTTACAAAACTATATATATATATATTATATCTGATACATACATATATACATATATATATATATTATATCTGATTCATACATCATATATATATATATTATTATACATATATATATATATATATATTTATTATATCTGATACATATATATATATTATATCTGATACATATATATATATTATATCTGATATATATATTATATCTGATATATAAATATATATATATATATATTATATCTGATATATATATATATACGTATCATATCTGATACATATATATACCTTCACCTACCATACACGCAAAAAAAGCCAGGTGTGACTTGAAACACAGGGTTTGCACAACAAAACCAGGGTTTGTAAAAACCACCATGTATCCCATCCTAGCCGACTCACGCCTCAAGTCATTTTGGTCCCCAAGAATGCAGCGAACTTTGTCTGAAGTGGCTTGGCGCTAAGCGGACTGAAGCTTGGGCGCAGGTGTTTTAAGTGTTGATCTTTTGATCCCAAATTTGAATAAAAGAAACCAAAGTGCGGTGGCGGTTGCCTAAGTATATTGTAATATATTTCTATTTGTTGATTATCATCATCCCTTAGCCACTACCAAGTAACCACTTTCAACGAATTTGAAATATGATGCCATCAAATAGCGGTCAACCGTTCTCTCAGAACAGTGAACACTGCTAACATGTCGCGACAGCCGTTCGCCACGGCCGATGAAGTCTTCATCTTGCTGTACTGAAAAGCACAGCGGATTTATGCAAACTCCAACCTTGCTTTGCTCTAGCAATTCCAAACATATGTGGTGAAAGCAGTGTGCCTTTGGCATCACTAACCAGAGCTTTTGGCCCTGAGAGTAGGCCAACTTAGCCAAGCATGAATACCGCCTCAAAAACCGCAATCCCAGCTGTGCAGCCTCAAATCCTTCATCTTTGGACAACCAAGCTTCAGCATGGTAGAGTAGGCGCAAAAAACTGTTCAATGCTTCTGCAGCTTGTCCAGCCAGACGAAGTGTCTCATCTTCCCAGGCTTCGCTCTGATACATTGCCTCACAAAAAAGCAGTAGACTTGTTGTCATGTCGCCCTTGCGCCAGCTACCTGTCGGGTAGCAAGTCGTCGACACCCAGTTCACATGCTCTTTTGTGATTCTTTTGCAATGTGGAAGGCGGTGGTTCGAAGAACACCAAGAACGATACTTGGCAGAGAGGAGTTCGAATCGTGTATCGACATTGCCCCCAGCTTCCTGCTGAGACAAAAGAGCCAGCATGCTTCCAAGGTAATTTTTCCCAATTCCTAAATGAACAGTGTGGAATATGTCAAACTTCCACAAAGTTGGCAGCTGACCTGCCACATGCGGCACCACATGGAAATTGAATGGATGGTTTGCTTCATCGAAAGGTGGCTGTGTCAGAACTGAAGCCAACCATGCCGGTTTCCGAGTGCCCAGCTCCTCGTACGGGAATGCTCTTTTGCCAGCCATGCAAAGATGGCAAATACCTTTTCCCTCTACACGGTTTGCTTGGCCAGGGTGCTTAGCCACATTCCAAAAGCTCCTTTGGAGGCTACCTGACTTCACCAGCCATGGCCAGTCACCAGCCATCCCAACACAGTAGACATGGTACTGGGAACCATCATGGGAAACTCCAGCTTCCGCGAGATGGGTGAGCTCATCAACAAGGGTCTTCATGAGGATTTCAAAAGCAAAGCTGTTCTTGTTGGTGTAGTCCTCTTTTGGCAAAGCTGAAAGCAAATACCTGTTGGTATAGCTGTGACCAACAAAATTGCACAGCATCTTGACATACTTTCGTTTCCTCGGATTTGGCCCATGCAACTCCGTCTCAATACCACGACCCAGCAAACTGTGGAAGCTAAGCACCAAAAACGGTGAGTTCTTTTTTGACCGTCCCTCGTCACCATGGACGACTATTGGGATTGTCTGCCTCAAGTTAATCTCGCCAGAGCGTGATCGAGTGAAGGCAGGATGGTGGGGATTGTGCACCTCAAAGCTTCTCCACCAGGCTTCCCAAATGTCGCCCTGCCTTTTGTGGTCCGGCTTCAGCAAGCCGCAGAGAATGTGAAGGCAGTTGTTCTGAAGAAAAAACATCAGCCAATCACGGGCACGCAAAAAAGGAATCTTCAAAGACTTGTCTTTGGTATCCAAAAACGTCTTAGGGATTGGCAATGTCAATTTCATTTGTTTTGCCAGCAACCTTTGGCAGTCTCTTTCCCCTTGGTTGGTACTTCTCTTTGAAAGCTGAAGAAGTCCTTCTGACTGGGCACTCACCGCTGCTTCCCCAAAATCGGCCACGACGTCCCGGGCCATTCTGATCACTCCAGCGCAAGACGCCTCAGCAAACGCAGAGGGTAGAATCATGCACACGTATGTTGAATGAATGGGGCTGTCAGCTTGCAAACACAAAACTGGTGATTCTTTAGGTGTATTTCACCTCCACAAATATAATGTTTATATATGGTATCTAGGTACAATATGATATGTTATGATATAATCTATTAACAGTTACTGAGGGATATGTTCGTGCAATATGATTGGGATATATGATATATGATATGGTTGCAACCGCCACCGCTGCACATTGGTTTCCCAAATCCTGGACTTTTGCCGTGTGGTTTTCTGCGGCATCAACGTGAAACACTCGCAGTTGCACTAGAGCGAATGGTTGCCTTTATAGGAGGGACAGGAGGAGGGTGTCGGAAACTTCTGTACACAACGTAAGTACAATATCGGCTGCTGTCATCGGCCAGTTCTTCATGCACAGTGTCACCACCAGCTCTGATGTTTTTACATCCACGTCTGCCTTGATTGGTAAGAAGAGTGAAACATGAAAACCCATTATATGCAAAACCATTTGGGGGTTAAAGCACATTTAGAAACATCACGGAACATCCGTTTCTCCATAGTTTGACTGCATCACAGGCACTTCCATATTTTTCAATTAGACTTGCTTCCAGCATCGCAAGGCTGTAGGGTTCTCTGGAGTAATAGAAAATAAGCATGTTCGACCACTTTTCCCTGGCCATTTCATACCTTGTTCGACCACCTCCAAATTGGGGAATGGGTGAAACCGATTTTGAATATCAATGGTTCTTGTTGTCGGAAAAGATTTTCCAAGACTTCAACTGCATGGCGATGAACCACACCAGCAACAGCGTTCAGGTCACAAAGTTTCAAAGAAATGCATCCCAATGCCCCACACTCAGCAGAAAGGGCTCGCAATCGTGGTGATGACACATCTAAATTTGAATCAAATTTCCTTTTGCGTTCCAACGGTCGTGGTTCAACTGTTTTCGGAGGATCCCCTATCGGTTTCGATGATGAAGAAGAGCAAGGTGATAATCTAGCTGAAATTGGCAAACTGCGCTGTGTTTGTGTCCAGGGAAAAGGGTATTCGTTGTCCTTGTTGTCTGTCTTTACATATATTTGAAAAATATCCCAACATATACTCAACATATTTGGGGTTCTTATGTGACGACATTAGTCCATGTGATTTTAGGGGAAATAAAACAAATTTGTTTACTAAAGTAGGTTCAAGGGTCACAACGGTGACATGTAAATAGATCCAGCAACTCATCTTCAGGAGATTCGCCATTCGAGTCGTTCATGCATATACATGGAAATATATGGAAATTAAAGATGTGACATCTATCATCTGTACAGTTTCGATATCGAATTCAAGTTCTTGACAGGAAAATGAGCCACGAACAGATATGGTGCTAAATGATTTTCCCAGTCCAGCTGCTTGGAAGTTCACCTGTTGGCTGAGGCCATGGCTCCTTCTGAAACCTGGGCACTCATGCCTCGGGTGGTCTGGCCGGGTCTCTTGGTACCTGGCAGGCGGTGATGGTGGCTGAGTTGATAACGTTTAATGTTCCAGTTGTCCAAGTCCAAAACGGTGGATCCCAAAATCGCCCAGGGTAAACATCAGTATCTAAAATCTAGAAATCACATATATTATATAAATTCAAATATTCATAGATGTGAGTCGGAATTGTTTCCAGATATTTCCAAATCATGCACCCAAAAAAACGGGATCACCTCGAAGATGCATGCATTAGTGAAGACCACTTGAAATCACTTGAAAGTTTCATCTGTAGTGTGTGCATTTAGTTGTAGTTACTTGTGGGGTTTCCAAACCTTGCCGTGATATTCCAAGACAAGACCCACATTGGAACCAATGTTTTTTTTCCTGAAGCTGGTCTCAAGTTCGTTGCTAACAATGTCAAAGCATTGTCGCCGAAAGTAGATGTGCTGGCAAAATCCAGCGCCACGCACGCTGAGCCTTGCAAAAGACAATTTATTGACAACATCGTCTATATGTTTTTGATGGGGTAGCATGTTTTGAACTTCAATCCTACATAATCCTACCAGATGTTCAAATGGTTCCAGAAAGTTTGGACTGGGCTGCAAAGCTTCTAAGTGAGAAGTGCGCTGTAGTAGCCACAAGGTTTTACCCCCAAAAGACTACTTGTCTTTCTTGGACTTTTTGTCCTTTTTGTTTTTCTTGGGATCCTTTTCAGATTCCTTTTTTTTCTTGGGCAACTCATGGTCCATCGCATCATCTTGCTCAGCTGGGCCCTTCTTCTCATAGTACTTCTTTGCGTTCCTGCAACATGAGGGATTTAAGAGATCGAATCCATCCTACCAGGAAACAACACCAGAAGTAACACTTCAAAAAATAGTCCTGATCTTGGTTTCATATGCCGTGGCCTTGGCACACCTGAAGCATGAGAGAGTTACATCCCTGGTCATTACTAATTAGAACATGAGTAGTGTTCACATCATATCCAATTTGTAAACGGAATCCATAGTAACTAAGTAAGGGACACAAACGTGGCATCTTTCATGCGCTGCTCGGCCTGTTTGTACCACCTGGGATGGAAGTATAGTATTATATGACCAGCCCTGGAAGAAGAAATCATAAGACAAAATATGGTTTGGAATTTGCAATGCATTGATGTATTATTTCAATCATCCCAGGTACTCTTCAGTACCAAAATCCTCAACCTCCCCTGTGGCCCACGATTCATTGCAGCGATCATAGTGCTTGTCCACATCAGCGATGTGCGTCTCCAAGGTCTTCAGGCACCTGGGAAAAGCAAGAGAGCTACATGTGAAGTGTTGAAAGGTGAAGAACCCCTGGGTAATGTAGAGTATTACCACTGTTGATGGTCAAGGTACGTTGCTGTAGCGGAATCACAGTAGCTCTTCTTCAGGTCACGGACCAAATGGCGAAGTTTTCCGGCTTTGCTCATCATGGAAGTGAGAAACTTCTTCAAAGTTTCTTTCGTCTAGCACAACGTCATCAGAAGCTTATGATGTCTCCAGGTTTGAACTTTGAACTTAGCAACATACAATCAAACGGCGTATCAGGAAGTTGTTTTAAAAGTCTGTCCTGCAGGTACTTGGTCACCTGTGGTGTTTCAACTTGTTTTTTCTTTTCTTCAGCTTCCCTCGTTGCCCGAGCATCCAGTGCACTGAAGTTTGTGCCAAGATCGGAACTGGGGTCGTGATCAACCTCCAGTGGCGAGTGTTGAAAAGACATAACTATCATGTAAACATGACGGGAACTTGAGAGAATCACACATCCCAGTCGTTGTAGAAACAAAACATCTTACAGGCCTTCTGTCGCTTCCTATGTTCTTCTTCATATGAGCTTTCCTCTGTTCTCTTGGCTTTTTCACTCAAAACCACAAAGAATTCAAGTTCTCCATCGTACGCGTTTCGCCTTCACAGGTAAAGCAAAGGGAAATAGGACAAGGTGAACATTAAGGGATCGTTGTGCATGTGCAACATTGTGATTGATAGGTTGGCCTTGTGTGACTGTCACCCAGGGCCATACATCTCGATTTCGCCCCTTGAATCTTCGCCCTTGTTTTGCAATGAGATGAATTCCAGAGTTATAAGAGTGTAAGTCGTATGCAGCTACCATATTTACAAATCTGTGACAAATCAAATATCGATCTGCAATGTACCAATGTATTCTGAGACTAGGACGCAGTCCAGCCTAACTCCTTGAGTTCACTTTCGCTGTGCCATCCCTCATCAATCACCACAGTGTAGGACTTTTTTTTCTTCACGATAACCAAGATCTCGTTGAAGAAACTCTCCTACGTTTGGTTTTTTTGGGAAACCACTACTCTACAACCCCGTGCCATTTGATGGGAGTAAACATGAGTGTTGATAAGATGGATCAAACTTGATTGGTTTCTGAATCCTCTCCTTGTCAAAATTCAACCTCGTGAGTAGCTCTGCCATTGCATCCCGGTCACCATCTTTCCACTCCGATTTCACATATTCCGGGGAATTCAGTTCTTTACGCTTCGTCTTAGGTGCCACCATCCGAGCAATGCGGGCTTTGGCCGCCCGACGCAGGTTGAACTGCAGGGAGATGGGAACCAAGTGGACATGGAAAATATGATCAAGATCTACTAGGGTTGTTGCACAAGATATATAGCTTAAACTGTATGTCTCATAGGGCCACATCAACAGAATAGAAGCGTATCCCCCCTTTACATGCCAATTTGTAAATATTGTTCCTACATGTTTCCACATTAACTCTTCGATAAGAGCTATGGTTTTCATAACCCAGGACCTGACGAAGGGTCATACCCAGGGGTATCTTTCTCCCACTTGGAGTCGTGACCCTGGCAGGTGGTGATGGGGGAGCAGACTCTTTATTGTCAGCTTCTGGAAGTTGTTGATCACCACGGTCCTAAGGGATGACAATCTCGAGAATGTGTATAATAGTACTGTGTATGATAGTACCCCATCAAAAGATATGGATCAAACAGGAAACAATACCCCTCACGCCCATGATCGATTTCATGAACAGTGTCATCATGGTGTCATAGACATATTGTTGAATGCAGCCCAAGAACGGATTTCTCATGAGCATTTTTTGCTTTCTTCGCTGCTTCTTCCAAGTTCGTCACTGGTCGCCTAGACATGAACCATAGTGCATGACGCAATGAACAATACTCAACACAACGATCATTGACTATGGAACATTGACACTTGGAATTATCGTGTCGGGGCGTACCGGGATTGTTTCCGGTGTCTCTTCAGGCACCTCCACCTCAGGAGCCGGCAGCCGGGGAAGGTGGAAACACTGGCTGGAGTTGTGCGATTCACAATTTAAAAGTCAAATTTGACTATCAAAAAATGTTGGAGTGTTGGGGATATGACCTGTGAAGCACGTCGGGTCGATTCTATCTCATCATCGACTTCCTGAAAGGGGGGCGCCACTGTGCAAAGACATATCAGTCGTCTTTCACACGACTTCCAAGATGTGGTTTGCATTTATATATTGAATATATGATAGGTTGAAAACTGTTGGTATAAGTACAGTCCTTATAAGTTTCTTGTTGGAGTGGGATCCTGATTGCAACAACTGTAAAACTAGAGCTCCTTCAGCTGCGCAAGAAGCTTGGCTTCTTCATCAGACTCACAAGTCCCGGCACCCAAAGCCACTTCGGCATCCACGTGTTTCAGGCCATCCCCTAACGTAGTGCAACTCCATAAGTTAGAGACTTTCCCCCGGGAGTCTCCAGGCTCCAACATGTCTGGAACCAATCTAGAAACCCTGCCTACGAGATGGCTTCGGTACAAAGTTGCAATGTGGTATCACAAAAAAGAGAGTTCAACATATCATCACAGTCCTGATTGTGCCTTCAAAATCTAAATTTTCAAATGTGAAGCTCAGCAATATGTCTCCATGTTTCAAATCCCCTCGGGCCTCAAATCTAGACGTGTATACATTCAACACATCCACTTGAATTTGGCAATGCTATCGAATTTCACCTGTCTTGTGCTATCCCAAAGCTTCAAAAATAAGCAAAATCCATTAAAATAGTTGTTCAATTCTGGGTTAGTCTAGAGGGCCCAAACCCATGTTTTAAAACACGGGTACACACGGGTAAATCACGGGTTGATCACGGGTTGCTAGACGTTCGTAACTCCGACCCGTCTTTTCCGAAGTTGAAACCCACTTGAATCAGAAAAATGCTGATACTTGACCCAAAAAATCATACATTTATTTGTTGATTTTGGGAAACTTTGGGTTCAGTGGAATAAAGTAATCTGAAAAATAAGGGCTGAACCATATTGAACCATGTTGGTTTGAAATCTGGTCTACCCAAGACGGTCCGGGATAATCCCACGCCACTGCTGGGGGATATCTAAATGGCGGTTCCCCCGCAGATATTGAAAGACTTCTGCCATTGCACTAAATTGCCAATCCTCAGAATTGACAACCGGCCATTGGGTGAAACTGTCCCTGGCATCCGGCACTTCACTGGGCAATGCAGGAGCTCCCTTGCAGGTGGCTTTCATGGACTCCAGGCTATCGATGACGTGCCGTGCGAATGGCATTGGGTAAATCCTCGGGCTTGAGGCTTGTGGAAATGAATCTATTATTGGAAGGGTTGGTACCTGCATCGCAGACTAGATGATCAATGTATCATACGTCATTCCCAAGATAGCCACATAACCAGAGATAACTTCAACCAAACACATTCCGAATGCATACAAGGATCTGAGTAGGACGAAGGTTTGCATTTCCCTTGTATCTTTTGACACCATTCCCATCTTTGTAAACATCAGCTGTCCGGATTCGTTGGTCCTTGGGTTTTCTCTGATGTTTTTTGAGTTTCCCCTTATCCAGGGTCAATACCGCCCTTGAGTTGCTGTACCCATAGTGGCGCTTTGGTGTTGGACCTTGGTAGTGCTGCATCCACCACTTGACCTTTGCTACCTTGGGGCTGCTGGCGGCTGGCAGAACTTAATTCGTATCTTCATGGCTGGCAAAAACAATTTTATTTTGCTGGCAACTTTTGATGGGATAGAATAAGACCCTCAGATAAGGAAGCATATATATATGAGTGATATATACACTCTATAATTTATAGGATAGATCCACTTGAAACCATATAACATACACCACAAACTTCACAAACCTTTGATCCTATTCATAACCCTACATATGTTGAGGGAGTCGTCAACACCAAAGTTCTGACTATAAATGAAGCAGGGTACAGCATGGACCCCACCACAAGCAAAAATGCTTTGCAACATCGTTCTGAAAGCTGGAAGAAATTCCAGAACCGACCCATCCGGCTGCTCCAGCGTCCAGACTCCCTCAAGCGCTGTGCAGAGAAGAATGAGCAGGCACGTCCTTCAAGGGAAATGGGGGAAGCCAATGGTGTTTCGTGAATGGGGCTGTAACGAACAAGTTCCCCTAGCCAAAAACAAATTATACCGTAGAATATTGCAGGCTAAGCAAGAACACGTTTGCAACAGTCTCCTTTCTGCCATCCTGTTGGAATCAGAAACCGACTTGTAGTCAGTAAAACCAGTGCTTGAACAGGGTGACCGTTTTGATGTGCCCACATTCATCTTACAGAAGGAAGCGCACTTCAGCGCAAAATGAGCTGAGAAATCACGAGCTCGAGCTCGGAGTAGGGATATCACAGCCAACCTTAGAAATTGGATTGGTTTGGAAAGGTTGTGTTTGAAACCGTTTCTGGATCACAGACCCCTATAAGTGATTTTTTTGCTATCACCAGTCTTTGCTTTTGCACTCATAGGCAACTAAACTACAACTACGTGTGCATAAGTTTGGTACCTCAGATTTCTATATATGTGGACCCTACTGTAAGTAAAAGATCCTAGCTCAGCAAAAATCAAATCAAATTCAATATGGATACATATCCCAACAAGGAACGCAAATCCCGAAGGAGAATTGATATTCATGAAGTTGGTCTTGCGGTCATAAGGTTTGACATTGTCCAAAATGTCGAAACGAAGGGCCTTATACCCACAAGCTCGTGCCTGTCGGCAAAGGTTTCCGACTCCTGCGTAGAACTCATAGTATTCAAAGTCCTCCCAGGAAGCGATGGGATACATAAAAGCAATGCCAGGAGAACAGGTATGGTAAGCAGAGAAATGCAAATTAAGACAACACCATCTAGAACTGGGGGTAGAGTTGCTGAGGAATCAGTAGAACTATAATCAGATGCGAACCTTGAAAGAACCAGGAATTTTGCAATCTTGAACTATACGTGTGAACTATGACATTCCGGAGCCCACAATTCAACCCAACTCCATCTCACCCAAACCTGTGTCAGCGTGTATGTCCAGAAGATGAGCAGGACGCAAGCCACAAAGTCCTGCAGCACCAAGCGAGGCATGTTATCATCCAGTTTGTGGAGGGATGATGAGTATGATGAGACCACATCGGTTTGGAAGAACACATAGAGGCCCAGATAGTTCATCCAACATTAGCATGAAGCTTTTGATCATATTGACACTAAATGGGTATTCTTCGAGCATGCCCCAAAGTATAATGCCACTCAATTTTTAAAAGCATTTTGGGGCATTCCAAGATTGAGATATCCAACTACAACCACTCTTTCAAGGGGCATTGCTATATATGGCCCGTTTGTTGATAGCATTTCATATAAGATGAACAGGGAAAACTGGGACAGTTTTCTACCAATCCAATTTCCCACCCAGTCTTGACTTCACAGTCCTGAGGGCAGTTCAGCTGACGAAGTCTCCACACCAGTGCGTTGATGGCGAGCATGGTCCGAAAGCAAAATGGCACAGGTCAATGGACAGTGCGAAGTATGAATATATCACCATCTTGTAATAGTGAAACATGGAAACAGCTGTACACCTTTCCAATACTATATAACATTCTCCGTTTGAAACCTACCTCTACATCTACTATCTTGACTGCAGGCTGCATACCGTGTGTCAGTGTGTCAATGATAGCAACCCCTCAGTTTGAGAAACATGAGCCGAAACTCACCCAATGGAATGGACTACGATATGGCTTTGATCCAATTTGATGCTTTCACCACAAGTTTCTCTTTTACCAGTCAATAGATCGATCGATGTGTATGTATTACGCAGATCATAATTGATCTATAGTCTACTTCTTCATATGTTCAAGGTGTTTGGTGGTTTGGCCCAAAGATCAAACCCAGCAGGGGGCACTTTGCCGTTTCCTCGTGTGGCATGACCGTATCGTCCACAGGTCGCCTCGACGATATCGCTTCCTCATGGCCTTAGGTTGCAGGAGCCAGGGGTTTTGAAACCATGCAGGGTGGCCGGGATAGAGTGAGAAGGGGCTGACATCCACAAATTTGACTTCTAAAAGGATTCCTCAGAATTCGATGTTGGTAAGGTATGATGCGATCCACAATCACGTTTTCCACTCCCCGCAATCGAGCTCTGGTCTACTGTACTTGTGTGAGTACCTCCAGATATGTAGCAGCGTAGCATCGATTTAAGTCACAATCCAAATGAGAAACATGGAGAAAGTAAAGATCAATCACAACAACCATCCTCTAGTCTTGGGACTGTAATTTCACGATGCTGAGCTGTTCTAAACCCATAGACTTCTAAGGGGTAGCCTGAGCACAGCACATCGAAGATCATTGTTTTGCACAACACATGGAAATGACAGTTGGGAGCATAGTGTATTGTTTTTAATATTTGGAGTTTGGACTAATGTGAGTGCATGTTGATCACTAGATCTATGCTGTGTCCAGGGTAAACGCCCTGCAAGTTCAGTCTTGTCCGCACTTCGGCAGGTGAGTCTTTTTGACCCCATTCCCAAGTTTCCAAAAAAACTTGTGACAACCCAAAGAAATTTGCTCAGAAACGCTCACTGCCACATATTGGGCAATGTTGGAATCTATTGGGACATAGAAATCATTTGCAAACACGCTTCAAAGCTTTTGAAGCTGAACACTTCAGGGAATCCTTCAGAGTCAGAATGTCCGAGTCCTCACTCAAGTGGGCCCCCTTGTCACGTGGCTGGCGGGATTTGGCTTCGACGTAGTTCACCTCAGAGAGAGAGAGAGAGAGAGAAGGGGGAACAGAATCTTGAAATCACAAACTATAACATTCCTTCACCCAGGTATGTTTGGAAGCATGTGTGGAATAGGTCATGCACTTTCATGCAGGTCTCCTGGGACAACACATCATTGAAATTCATTTCGAGTGGCAAACAAACTTGCTGCCTTCAAACACGAGTGAAGCCGAAGAAGATATGGCCCAGCATCAGCATGCACTGAGTAAGTAACCAAATCCTTCTTTTCACTTTTCAAATGAACACCCACTGAAGCCAGTTTCCAGTAGATGTTGTAACGGCACTCTTCTGTGGTCGGAAAGTCCTTTTTAAATTCCCGTTTGATGTCGTCCGTCAAGTCCTGATTACCTTTGACTTTCCATCCAGCTCCCTTGATGACCCTCAAGTATTTGGCTATGGAGTTGACCTGGCCCTTTGTGTCCTCAGGCGTTGTGCACTCACAATCATCACCTTCAACCTTCTTTTTTTTTGGGTGTTTGTCCTGTTCAGTGTCATGCTTGCTGACCGCTGTGGCAGTGTCCTTAGCGGCAGGCTCACTACGCTTTCCTGGCTTTTTCTTAGGAATTGTCTTTTCCAAAGGTGTTTCACTTGGCTCCTTGGATTGGTTCTTCAAAGTGTGTTTGGACACAGCACTGTCTAGCGTCGCATAGCGGTCCCATGCCTCAGATGGCTGGCTCCAGTCCTGCACCCAGTCCCCCTCATACCATGTTTCGTCATAGTCAACATGCTCCTCAGCACCTGCCCCCTTCTTCCATTTAAACCATTCTTTTTCCATCTCCTCTGTCCAAAATGGTTCCGATTCCTTGGAATTCTGTGGGGTGGCAATTTTCCTTCTCTTTGTGTTCTCATCATCTCTGACCTTCTGACCTTTGCCTGCGTTTTTTCCTTTCGCTTTTTTTCTCCCCCCACGAGGCTGGTTGTTCAGCTGGTCTTCCCTTCGAACAAAAGCTTCATCTTCAGCCTTGCGGCCCCCCAGTGCAAGACACTAGAAATGAGGTCTCAACACGATCAGAAACCAAACGAAATAAGAATGATGGACAAGAAACTTGCGGAATTTGTTGGGTTCTTAACTCTGTGATTTTCCACGCCTCATTCTCGGATTCCGTGAACGCATCAGCCTTGTTAAGGGTCTTCTTAGGGTCAATCCATGTTCCTGGCGATGCTGGGCTGGACCCAGGCATGATCTCCGTTTTCTCACCGTGTCCTTTCAAAGACTGATACTTCTCACGTTTCTCATTTGAAGTGGTCTCTGGTGAAGCAGTTGGTTCCGGAGGTGGTCGCGGCACTGCTGCTCCGAGAATATCAACCAAGGGTTGGGTCTCCACATTGTCCCCACATGCTCCTGGTATAACAGCACATCATAGAATAGAATGCATATGAACTGTATGGAGTCAGTGAAAGCTGAAACTGAAACCACCTTTGAAATTATACTAATTATTTTTGGAAACTTGAAAATAGTCCTGAGGGTGAGGTTGGCTTGACATTTGGCGTAGCTGCTTCGGCTGCACATTTTTGGCTTCTCGAATCCTGAAAAATGCTGTTTCAAAATGATTATGAAACATCCATTCAGCAAATGGAATGGCAAACCTAATCAAACAAAGTTGCCATGACCTGGCCAACTTCAATTCCACCAATACCCTGGCCAAGAAACTGTTCCAACTTCCGCATAATTTCCTCACGCTTTCGAGCAAGTGGATCATCAACAGCACCTGCAAGAAGGAGGAAACAAAGGAACCAATTGAAACCCTAAACTCGAAAACCTAAGATGTGCGTGCGTGTGTGTGTGTGTGCATGTGTGGGAATGTGTGGATGGTATTGGCATGGCTTTTATAAGTCTGAAGTTTGAAGGTGCATCAATAGAAACGTGAACATTAGTTGAACTTGTCTAAGACCAGAACCTTGACCAGTCTTTTCGGAAGGGATGGGCTCTGCAGTCTCCGTAGGTGGGGTTTCTTTTGGAACAGCGGGACTAGGCAAAGGCAAAGGTTCCGTAGGGGGGATCTCTACAACCGGAGCAGCTTCAGCAGGTTCAGGTTCGTTCTCCTGCTCGGTGTCTGAACTTGGACTTGATGAGCTGGAATCATCCCAGGCATCCTCATCATCAGCTCGTGTGTCCTGATGTGGAAAAACATGTGGAAAGCCATGTTGTTCATGATTGTTGGCACCTGTGGCTGTTGAGAAAACTTTATTATTTTCCAAGAATTTTAATATATATATATATACCTACTTTCTACCGTTAGTTATTCAAATTAAAAAAAGTGACCCCTAGCAAGCTACCCGAAACAAGAACATCAACACCACCGACACTGACATCCTTGCGACCTCTCTTCTTCAAACGTTCCTCAACCTTCTTGTTCACTGAGTCAACCTCTTCCTGTGGGCGAGGGAAACACAAAGAACTTGTGAACACATGTGAAGGCTAGTTCGAGGTAAACCCTCTAAAATGAATTCCTGCCTGCAGCATGGGGTCCAAAAGTAGGACGAGGTTCTGGAAATGTCTCACCTAATTTTGTTTCAAACAAGAACTGTGGAATTCAGACGAGAGATTTGTGGGGCACGGGAATTCCACCCTGTGACAGTCTAAAGCAACCCGACCAAATTCGAACCCCACAAATAAAGCTCTTTACAGTCTAAAGCATTGCCACCCAGTGACGGTGGAAACCTCCCGTCGGCGGGTCTTGGTCTTCACATGGCCACACAGTTTTTTCACTGCCAGCCATTGCCTTTTTGGAAAGTTCAAGGTATTCCAATTCCAACCCCTGCTTGTTTTTTTTGAACAGAAGTTCCAACTCGGATCTCAAATCGTCAACGGGAGGTAGTCGACGATCTTCATGTAGGGCCATACGTGACAACAAAGGTGCCAGAAGACCCCGCATATTGACACAACTGGAAATGTCACAAGAAACCGGATTGGGCAAAACAGGCTTGTCACTATGTAAGAGTTCCCTAATCTCCTCATCTGCATCCCATTCTTTCCAAACTCCTTCCACATCCAAAGCCGGCGACTTCGACATGGTGGAGTGGTAGCTGAGGAGAAGAGCTTTGGGCCCAAAAGGCCACAAGTAAAACAAAAGCTGAAAGTAATGCGCCCACAGGAGGTTAGAAACATAAAACAATGCTGAGAATGATGATCAACTTAAGATGGGTTCATGTTGCACTCCGGGCCCTGCTCCAGGAGCTGAGTTCCCTGACGCTCGTGAGGGATGGCAGCGAAAAGCCATTGCAGCCGCACGGGCCGTGTATGTGAAACAGTTGACTGGGAGTTACACTACTGTAGCTTAATTACCACATGAACCCTGAATACTTTGGATACTGTAATTCTAACTGGGGAGCTGGCGATTCTCCATTTTGAATTGGCTTGGGTACATGCCGGTATAACAAAGGAGTATTAAAGGTTTGCACTTCAAATCCCCAAGCACTTCGCTATCACGATGTATTGAAATGAAAAATTTGCATTGCTGTTGCTTGTGCCATGATCCCACATTGCGAGTTTGTACCATCAGGCTATTGATGGTTTCAATATTTGTTTGATCTATTTGCCATCATCGATATCTATCCTATATATATATAATTCCTATATATATTAGGCTTTGCACCCCCAAGCAAAGCCTTGGAGCCAAGATATGCCAAGTTCCAATCGACGAAATCTGCCTCATCGGACGGATTTGGCCAAAACACAGGGTTTCTAAACAAAACCCCAGGTTTTGTGGATGATCACGGAGCAACCTCGGGTTTATATTCAAACACGTCATTTTTCACGGGTTTGGTTGCTTAGGATATATATTTTATATCTGATGCATATATATATATATATATATTATATCGGATACATATATATATATATATATATCATATCTGATACATATATTTATTATATTATATCTGATACATACACATTTATATATATATATCATATCTGATACATATATTTATTATATTATATCTGATACATATACTTATATATATATATATTTATATTATATCTGATACATATATATATATATACTATATATGAGAAATTCCATATATGAACTCCAGAGTACAGCTTTCCCAACTACAAGTTCGTCCCAGAACTCGATTCGGCCGTCTGGGCGGCGCAGGACGGGAGCCTGGATCTCGCGGAGCTTCACACAGGGCGACTGTCTGGTGACCATGGGTGACCTGCAGGGGGATCCTGGGGCATCCTGGATCCAAAATCATAGGGAAACCCATAGGAAACCACTATAAAACCATAGGGAAACCATAGGAAAATGGTGATTTAACCACTATAAATGGAGATGTTCCCTACAAGGTGGTGCCCCATAGTTAGCTAAGTTGGTGCACATAACTCCAATGTCACTATGGTTTATGGTAGATATATCGACATACTTACTATGGTTTATAAACCAACTTATAACTGGGGGGGTACCACCTTGTATGTTTTCCATATATCAATGGCCATGACTCAGGGACCTAAACTGGAGGTACCTAGCATAAGGCCTACCATATTTTAGGATCCTGAAATTCCCATTGAATATATCGTTTTTTATATGTTCTGATAATTTCCCATACTTAGATGGGCCATGGGATTAAAATGATTAGATCAATGCTTAGTAACTGGGGATTTGTTACCCCCAAAAAATCCCAATGAAATAATCCATGTACTAACTAGTTAACTAACTTCATGGCCCATCTAAGTATGTGTTCCATTTTTGTCCATGCCATCCTTTAAACGATCGCCTCGAGATGGCCAGAATTTTACGAGGCTGGGTCACATCGACATGGACGAGCTGAAAGACACCTTGGAGGAGTGGTGAGGATTTATCGGTTTTACCTTATGGATATTGGTCAAACAGGACCAGGAATTGACTGGTTTAAAAACAAATCTGGATATTTACTGGACCCCCAGTTGGCCAATCATGGTGGTACCAGTGGTACCGAAGATGGCCGAAACCTCTCATTCCGACACCAGGTTTTAACGGATAATGGGTATCACTTACAAGGATTTCCAGCACTATTCAGGGAATGAGACCCATTAACAATAATTGATACCCATTAACCACTAACCATTAACAGTAGGAATGATGACTTATTCAGGGAACAGCCAAGTGCATTCTATGCGATGTCCGAAAAATCACGTGTTTTTTTTTGGGGGGGGTATCGCCTCCAACAACGTGACCTATCTCCAAGTCACGTCCCGGGCGACCCTGGAAGTATCCAACAACTCATTTTTGGAGCGGCGAAGTGTTTACCACATGTATGAACTAGTGAATTACCATGAACTGTTATGGGAATGTATACATAACTACTATAACTACTATAACTATCCAAAATACCAGTTTTCTTAGAATTACTATATGAACTACATCTGATTATTTGCACTTGACCTATGCCTTCAATGTTATTTTGGTCCTGCTTTTCCTCAGCATTTTTCATCACTGATGGCAGGATTTGGACCAAAACGGTGATAAACTCCTGGACTTTCCCGAGTACATGCAGATTCTGCGCGCCTCGCCGTTCGGAAAAAAAACGGAGCGATGGTTTTTGGAGAAAAAAACGCGAAGAATTCAATGCTAAGACCATAAGCCATTACAATGATATGATATGATTTTATATTTGGAGATATTACATCCACTATTACACTATGATATGATAGTGGACATAATAACCCATGACGGATCCATGGTGCTGGTATATATGCTAACATGACTGGGGTATATTGATGGGATCCATGTTTCCATAGCAGCACTATGGATCCGTCATGGGTAGTGGAACGGCTCCGTTCTTTTGGAGCGACTTGTTGCTTACAATTTCTGAAGATGAAGACATAAAACACGTGACAACTGAGGAGCGGCTGCCACGGCAAAGACGCCAAAATCCTGCAAGAGCAGCTTGGTGATACGAGAGGCTATGAGAGGCAAACATGGCCAACAGATTCACTATGGTTTATAATGGATTTTGTTCATGTTTTTCAATGATTTTTTAGGGGAGATCTTTCACGAACTAGATCAACTGATCCTTGGGCCTCACCTTGTACCCAGTCCTGACAGTTCTTTGATTGGGAAGAATTTCACTCCATTTTATCAGAAGAATTTGAATATACCATTATATAGTATGATATACCCATGATGATTGGATTCCCACCATGGGATACATGATTGATATGTATATAGCCTATACATATATATATATATATATATTG